CAATGCACACACGGCGGCTATGTCTCCACATGAATAACGCATCCAACATTTCTAAACATTTAAAACAATATACCTGTCCATATTCGCAATTCAGAGAAATCCTCGTTGAAACACCTCCATACTTTTCCACGAAAAGAAAAGACACAAGCTAAAAATCCTTGACTCTAATTATATAAAAAAAATTGTAGCCAAATCTTATTAAAATCATTTTAAAAAATAATGAACGTTATATTATTATTTTCAAAATAAAATGAAAATACTAATTTATTTAAAAAAAAAAAAGCAAGAAAAACATTAAGAGGACATTTGAAAAAAAGTTGCCTGAGGAGGATGTAACGTTGAAACCAAGGTAGCGTATTCATCTGAGTTCCTGGTTTTTAAAGTTAAATTCTATATAAATTATTTTTACGTTCATTTTATTTTTTTAGACGTGTATTGAGAAACTTTTTATACCACTGTTTCCTGGTCTGATTCAACCCTGACCATTAACCTTATATATATATATATATATTATGAAATGGACAAAGTCCGACAATTTATTTATTAAAGACATTAAAAACTTACTGCTTGAGCAGTAAATTCGACCTTGCCTACCGGACGCTCCTTTGTGACCGAGTCGGCTAAGGCACGTCAGCGTAAATAACTGTTCCGTATAGAATGCAGGTTCGAATCCTGTCAAAGGACGAATATTTTCTATGAAAATTTCTCGGACATTCAGGCCGGTAAATGTTTTTTAATACTGTTTATTATAAACAGAGCATTTACTTAAATACTTGTATCTATAAAAAGAACGTTAAACATAAAATGTCTTTAATATATATATATATATATATATATATATATATATATATAAACACATACCTATATGTGTGTGTGAGTCTGCGTGCGTGTGGAGAATATTAGATTTTCTCTAGCCTAATATACACGTAATCAGAGCAGCTTTTGTTAATGCACTTGATCGCACTCAGACGTCAAGTCTGCATTCGTTTTTCTCTCCCGTCAATACTAATAGAATGAGTGCTTGTTTAAACAGAATCCATACAATGTGTCTGTTATACCTTACACTGGTTTACCTCAAAATCGATTATTTCTTTCCCAGGCGTCCACCCATTGCAAGGAAAATAATCAATACAAAATAAAGAATAGTCACTATTGAGGAATTCATATTTTCTGGTTGGAAATGCATGCATGTTAAAGAATCAGCGCATGCAACGCAAAATTTTACAATGGGCTTAACCGAATTTCTAGCTAAGATTTCCATACTTGCACATAGATGTCTGTCCTATTTTCCAGTATATAAAACGCACTTTTAAATTAAAAGAAAAATGTTCAGCAACTATTACGCTTCGTCCAATAGTTTGATATTGAAACCTGATGTGAGCACTTCAACCGACTTAGAATGAGAACGAACCCACAAAGGGTTGATAAACCGTATTAAAACAAATCAATCAATCAATGATCTTCAAACTATGTCGGAAGATCGATACAGTCACCAGGTATTGCTTCTTTCAATGTCCGTACTATCAATATCTACAGAATCTCTTCTTCTTCTTCTTCTTCTTCTTCTTCTTCTTCTTCTTCTTCTTCTTCTCCTCCTCCTCCTCCTCCCCTCTTTTTTTGCTCTTTTTTTTCTACGTGTTATGAGTCATTCCTTTTTTATAGCACTTCTTCTTTTTCTTCTTCATCTTCATCTTTTTTCTTTTGTTATGCCAGTCATCCTCCCTATTTTCTTCTTTTACTTCTTCTTCATCATCTACTTCCTGTTATGTAATCCATCCTCCTTTTCTTCTTCTTATGCTATTCATCCCCTCTTTCTTCGTTTTTGCTCTTCATGTCCTTTTCTTCTCCTTCATATTCTTCTTCTATTCATTCTCCCTCTCTTCTTCTTTTTATGCTATTCGTCCCACTTTCTTCTTCTTCTTCTTCTTCTTCTTCTTCTTCTTCTTCTTCTTCTTCTTCTTTGTCTCTTAAATTTGATTAAAGATAACTTTACTGGAATTCTCCGAAGTTTTATAATACTATCGAACTATATTTTGAAGAATAAGAACCTATTTAGCTCTAAAATGAAATGAAGATCGCTCTAGCTGTTATGATCTGATCCTGTTTTCCTCTCTACTCTTCCCATCTTTGGGTACCCCGAGGTGGTGTAATGGTTAGCAAGCTTGTCTCGCTAGAACAATTACGAATGAGTAATGAGTTCGATCCTCACTGGGCAACCCCTACATTCGGCCTTGTGCCACACCTAAGCTACGCTTGGAAAATCATTATATTGCAGCAAACCGGGCACCCTGAGGCGGTGTAATGGTTAACAAGCTTGTCTCGCTAGAACAATTATGACTGAGTAGTGAGTTCGATCGTCACTGGACACCCCCTACATTCGGCCTTGTGCCACATCTAAGCTACGCTTGGAAAATCACTATATTGCAGCAAACCGGGCACCCCAAGGCGGTGTAATGGTTAGCAAGTTTGTCTCGCTAGAACAATTATGACTGAGTAGTGATCCTCACTGTGTGCTCCCTACATTCGGCCTTATGCCACATCTAAGCTACGCTTAGAAAATCGCTACTGTTCCCATCTTTAACTTATTCACCGTTCTCTTCATGGTCCTTGAATGGACTTTGAAGATAGTAGCCAGAGTATGAATGTTGGGGCCTATTATTAAATGCCTGAATTAAATTTTCTTCTCAACATTGCTCAGTTGAGTAGATATAGTAGGGCTGACGCAAAACAATTTTTCGTCTCCTCTTTCTAGCTGAATAACTCGAAAGGTTTTTCAGTGATTCTTACGACAAATGGTGTATATATGGCCATAAGTGTTATCTGAAAACTTGGAAACACGATAATAAATTAGTTTAATGTTTTTTTTTTCAGATATTCAACATCTTGTGGGATGGACAATTATCGCATGCTGTTACCCGATGTAGACAATTTTGCTGTTACCCGATTTGGACAATTTTGCTCTTACACGATTTCGACAATTTTGCTCTTACCCGATTTGGACAATTTTGCTGTTACTTCTGGTACACATATACAAATATATTTTATGCATAGGTTTATAAACATTTACGTAAACACCTATATACACACTTATATACAAATATAGGATTATTCTTCAGAGTTTAACTTCTCCTAGGGAGGTTGTTAGCCAAGGTTAAAGACCACAAACTAGCCATTAAATATTCACTATTTGCCGATAGCTGGGACCATAACAGCTGCTACCACCCCTGGCCAGATTGAAGTTGGGAACAACAGCAAGCGGTAACACACTCCTGAAAATCTCGAAAATCCCGATAAGAGACGTTACTAACGGATGTAGTTTATCATCTTTGACCATACTGCTGTATGTCTCAGAATCGGGGGAGGATAAAAAGGAGTAGGTAAAAAAGAGGAATAGGTGTACAAGAAGAATTGGAGGAGGAGAAGATGAAGATGAAGAAGATTTACGAAAACATTTATTAATCCATCTGTATATATAAGAATTCGAATTCATGAATCTTACTCTGATTCGAACCTGAACATCAGGCCCATATACAAAGTAAGCAAAAATAATAATATAGGTTTACATTTTTTTTTCTTATTTATTCACATTATCGTGCTTAAATATCAAAATAGATTCTTCAGTAATCATTATTGTTTTCTGCAGACGATGCAGCAGTTGCTGTAGTGATCGATGAAGAAACTATTATTTTTGGTTCATTTTTTTTCTCTCTTTTCTTAAATATTTTCTTTATTCAAAGCGGCTGTTGACTGTTTCTTCAAGAAAGATGAAAAAGGCGGAATCACGCATGCGCTATTACCACCATTTTTTACTTCTCTTTTACTACTGTTTTTCTTGTTTGTTTTTTTTTTTATTCTTTATATTTTTCTTTATTTCTTAGTGGGATTGCTGTGTCGTGTCAATCTGAAATGGAAAAGATCTGACCTTCTAAACAGAGAAGGTCCCGTACGTTATTTATTTGGAGATTGCTAGCTTACGCCAACCCCTACGCTTAAAAAAAAATAAATCAATTTTTATGTTTTTATTCAAGATTCTATGTATAGACTATTTTTTTTATTCTCTCTTGTTTTTTTTTTTTTTTTTTTTAGTTTTATTTATGTTTCTTTTGGTTTTTTTTGTGGGGTGCAATTTTTTTAAAAGTAAGTATTTATATATATATATATATATATATATATATATATATATATATATATATATATATATATATATATATATCCGTTACATATATTATATTTTTAAAACTTCCCATCGTTTCCCTAAATATGAATTTGGGATCATTCTTGTTTTGGATAACCTTAATTCTTTTTGTGTCTCGTTTATCTGGGAGTTTTTCTTTTATTTCTGTTCTTTCGCATTTTTTTTATTGCTGCAGTTCATTTTATCGAGCCCAATTTTCTCACAGATATTCTTGTCCTTGCCTATTCAGATTATTTTCTTTCTTTTTTTTTTTATCTCGTTCTCAATTATGATTTTCATTTTAGAAACGTCCTTTTTCCTTCCGTCTATTCTTGTACTTCTTACTTAAAAGCAACGTTGTCATTACTCGCAAACAGAAATAACCTTATTTTAAATACGGTTCAGTATACGCTAAAATCCGCTCATTACAATACGTTCTACTGTCGATCTATCTCCGGTCGGCGGGATTATACAACTGAAGATAAGGAAACGTAAAAAGCCGGGATGATAATGTGTCCAAAGGTTGAATAATGTTACCATGAATAGTCTATGGACATGATGTCTCCTGAAAATTAGTACTGTAAGATAACGTCATATGCTGCAACTATTAGGTTGGTGCAAAAATAATGACGTAATAATGTCGTTATTTGACGTTAAAAAATATGTCAAAAAACGACATTATTACGTTATTATTTTTGCACCAACATAAAATTATAGGACTTGTTGGTTTAGTGGATATGACGATTGAATCCTATCGTAACGGTTTGGGTTCGATTCTCGGTAGCGGATTTTCAGATTCTTACTTTTCTTTTTTTTTTTCCCCGTCATGCATTCTATCTTGCATCCACTTTTCTATTTCTTTCATTTATTTCCTTCATCTATTAGGTTGGTGCAAAAATAATAACGTAATAATGTCGTTTTTTGACGTATTTTTAAAGGTCAAAAAACGACATTATTACGTCATTATTTTTACACCAACCTAATATATTGTATTCCTTTCTTTTTAATTCCTTATTTCCATTTTGTTTTTTCTTTTTTTTTTTTTGATTCAATCAGTTCTGTTATTTTCATTCTTTTTCATTCTTTTTTCATTCATTTTTCGTTCTTCTTTCACTTTCTATCGATTTTATACAATTTGACTTGTTTGTTTCTTTACCAGTTTAAACTTACTTGCTTTTTTGTTGTTTTTTTAACTTTTTCCTATGTTTGTGTTTTCGTGTGCTTTTTTATTTACATTATTTTCCTTCTTTTCTTTCTATTTTTTTCCCTCAATTACATCCCCTGCCCCGTTATCCGCGATTTCACTGCCTGTCTTAAATAATCATCTCAAAGTGCTACATTTCTAATGTCGGCATTTCAGATATATTCTTCTTCTTTTATGTGCCGTTTCACTTCAGGGTGTGAGCCATTTGCAGGTCTCCAAAACTTCCTTATCCCTTTGTAGCTCTTGGTGTTTTTTGGGGGGTTTTTTGCCATCGTTCTTAATCTCTGTTCTTCCACTCATTTGCATAAGCTCTCTGGTCAGGTCATTCGTCGCTTTTTTTTTTCTGTCCCTCAAGCATTCAGCATGTCTTGTGGGTGTTAAGTTTTCAAATCCCTCTCTCTTCATTATGCGCTTTAGAAATTGTAAATTTTTAATTCTGAGTATGTGTGTCATTTTATATTTCCATTTTCCTTACCAAAGAAAAATCACAAAAACTTGATTGCAATTTATTGTTATAATTAGTCTATTTTAGCTATTCTTTTATCCGGAAAGAGTTTTAACAAAGAACGGAAAGTACAACACTGAAATCCGAAGGCTTATTGGGATAAAGCGAAAGATGCCTTCCAGAAGCTAAGCAAAGTATTAAAAACATTTTTTTCTCGTTAAAAACACAGAAAAGAGTGCTGGGTTGTTATCTAATATCAGTGCTCATATATGGAAGTGAATGCTGGACACTCTATTCACGCACGAAGAAGAGACTTGAAGCAACAGAAATGTGATTCTACAGCAGGATGCTGTGAATACCATGGACAGAAGACCTGAGAAACAACGATGTTTTAGATAAAACTTAGAAACATGATACTTATTCTTAACATCAGAAAGAGATTGTTTAAATTTCTAGTGCATTTATTGAGGGAATGTTGCTTGGAAAATGTGATACTTTTAGAAATGTTTAAAGGCGAGAGAAACAGAGGAAAACAATGCATAACTTACATATCGAGCTTGCGTAAATTTATGGTGTTTTCTGAGGGATAACAAAAAGTCAAAATTTATTAAGAGCCAAAAAAGCACAGGAAACTGTGGAGAGCCATGATCGCAAACTTCTTAAAGGGACATGATGCAGAGAAGTACAAAACTGATATGATAAACGGTGAGAACGGATCATCTATAGGTCGAATAACTTTTATTACATTATTTACATTATTCGGACTATTGTCCTCATCTTTGTCGCCATATTTATTACAACACCTCGGCCGTTGTACGCTCCGGCCTTCTTCCTTGGAATATCAAACGTAAGCCTTTATTTCGCTGGGTTAGACTGTTCTAGTTCCACGTGCCATGCTTAATGGATGTCAGTTATCGGTTTTCCCCAGTTAATTTCCGAAAGTTCTCCACTGCCTTAACCGGTTATTGAACTCTTTGGGTCCTGTCACTGGATCTAACCAACGCCTTTATCCACTGAGCCATGTCCTTGAGGACATCTGTGTATGAATTTCTGGGTGTTATAAATTCAATGTCTTCAGCAACCATTTTTACCAGTGCTCATATTGGAATTTTTTTGTAGTTATCATTTCATGTTTTTACCAGCGCTCATATTGCAAATTTGTTGTTATTATCGCTTTTCTCTTGCTCTCCTTATAACTGGTTCCCATATTGTATTCATTTCTATGCTTGGTCGGCTCAGGAGATTTTCGTGGCCTAGCATATGTGCTGATTCCATAAGGTTACGAATTTTCCAATGGTGTTCCTTGTCTAGGATCTCAACCTGATCCCACAGAGGGTGGTGATCTACCTTCTCTGTCCATATGTCGTCAGCCACGCCTGATTTTTCCACTTTTCCTCGTGTTACCGAGGTATGGTGTTCTTGAAACCTTACCTTAAAGGGGAGGTCTGTCTCCCCTTTATATAGAAATATAGACAGAAACTTTTATTACAATATACATTTATTATTGGCCTATTTTATTGTTAATTATTTTTTTAGCACTTCTGTTGAATAAAATATGGTACCTATCGTATTAACGTACCACGATTAAAGTCATTGGGGCAACACACGTACTAGTGTTTCTTGAGGCAAGATAACCAGACGGAGACCAACTATCTAGAGGCCGGTTTGAATTCAGATTTTTTCGTCTCATAGACTGGTTGTCACCCAAGGCGAGAGTCCAGCCTGATCTGATATTACAAAATGCTGAGGGAGAAGAAGACCTATACCTTTCAAAAGGGTATTAGCATGTAAGTGAATGTATTGGATCCGACTTGAATTCGAACTCGGTTCTGTCCGAGCCTCTATCCATTAATCCACCGCACCTCAGTATTAACCAGTTTGAGTTTGTTTAGACGTATTAACGTATATTCCAGTTTACCGGTCTAACTGTTCAATTATACCAGTAATTATTATTCTGTCTAATAAAATCTACTTATTGTTGTTAAATATCGCTGACTGGATGCTGGTGGACTAAAAGTATGGTATTGTCCGATTGGTATCTGCTCCAGTTTTTTAGAGTTGATGGGTGTGATTGCGTGTCTTGAATGCGCACGCGTTCAATAATTCACGGTGTTCGCTGTTGGTTATTTCATAATGGTGTAGACTCTATTCATGTGTCATGTTCTAGGCCCAGTGTATTTTTTTATGAATTCACCACACATAAAGACGTAGGGGGTTACTGAGATTTAAAGAGAATGAGAAGACTTTAGAAGTAACTGGAAACCCAATCCTAAAAAGGAAACAAAAGATAAACCTCTAGTTCTATTTACAATGTTCGTACTGTTGCCCTCATATTTATTGTCAATATACGCTCCAGCCTTCAGGTGATATAAGATGGAATTGTCAAAGTGTTGTGAGTTCAATACCTGGCCGCATCAGATGTAAAAAAAAAAAGAAAGACACTTGGGGAGTTGATTTACTAAAGAGAAATAACTGAAACGGAGATATCCAGAAAAGGCATGGCACGTGGAACTCGATCAATCAATCAATCCCGGTGGAAAGGGTCCAGTTAGAAATACCAACGTATAGCAACAGAAGAAGGGTTAAACGTCATGAATATGGCAATAAAGATGAGGACAACAGTCCGAACAAATGTAAATAGTGTAAATAATTACAATACCTCATCTCAGAAATAGAGGGAGATCCTGAAGAATGCCGGAGAGTATAACGGTCGGAACATCGTGAATATGACAATAAAGATGGGGACAACAGTCCGAACAATGTAAATAGTGTAAATAGTTAAAATACCACATCTTAGAAATACAGACAGATCCTGAAGAATGCTGGAGAGTAAACAGTCGGAACGTCGTGAATATGACAATAAAGATGACGCCAACAATCCGAACAATGTAAATAGTGTAAATAGTTACAATACCTCATCTCAGATATACAGACAAATACTGGAGAAAAACGGGGAGTACAACGGTCGGAACATCGTGAGTATGACAATCCTTATAATGTAAATACTGTAAATAGTTAAAATACCTCATCTCAGAAATACAGACAGACCTCTAGTACTGTTCAAAAGACATGAGAGGAGTGTGAACCGAAACATAGGCGAACCTATCTACTCGTATTGAGGAGAAAAATAAATAGTAAATAAAATTTCGGGGTTTATGCAGTCAGGTCAGCAGTATAGAGCCGAAATAGACTTTAGGAAGACCTGGAAACTCAGTCCTAATGAACAAACAAAGAATAACCTCCTACTCCTGTTCAAAATAGCTAGCAGTTTGATCAGGACGATGTTACCCTAGAAAAGGTCTTTGACCAACGAATACTTCGCTGCATGTGACCATTTATACGTATACATAGATTTCATCCATCCCAACAATATTATGCTACAGGTGAAGGAACGTCTCTTGTTATCGGGCCTTTCTTGCGCTGAACTTCTTTGTGGACCATTTTGAAAACTTAGGGTCGCAAGTGAGGAAACCAATCATACGTTTATGGGACGCCCTTACTCTGTTTCTCATATAAAAAGCAAGAGACACCGAAGGAGTTGTTTTATGGATGTGGAAAATGTTGATTTCGAAGATAAGTAGGATAGATAACTTTTGATCCGAGACAAGAAGAGGTTGAATACTAATGACCGGGAAAGCATTTTCTCTGTAGTCTGTTCCACAAAGCAACATATCTAGGGAAGAAGCTGATCAAATGAAGCACCCTTCTTATCAATTAAATACTAAGGGGGACGAGAATAGTTCGCACCCACACCGATATATGCCATGACGGCATTTGATATAAAGTTCTGAAATAAAAGAACGTAGCTCAACATATTTTCCTTAGAAATAGCGATAGATTAGTGTGCCGGCCTCGAAGTTTTGTCCGAGGATAAGAGGTTTTAGGATGGAAAATAATCACCCATAATGTAGCGTAAACACTTTTTTTTTTTAATATGGGAAATGAGGTGTTGGTAGCACTGGACTAGATATGACAGTAATATGATCTGATGGATCTGAATCTTGTTAACATAGAGCATGGCCACTGGCGTCAATTATTTTAGAAGTCTTATGAGGAGCCGACTATTTTTCCAGCTTCTTTACCGATGGATCGTATGAATTACTTATGAATGGATCAATTGTTTCATGATAGTAAAGAAAAATGGTTTTTATCACATTTTCATTTCTTCTAATTTTTTACTCATTCCTCTTCTATTTTTTTCTGCTATCTACCTTTCACGTTTCCTCCTTTTATGATTACTTTTCACATTTCTTTGTTTTAATATTATTTTTTTGTATTCTCCTTTATCGTCTCCAGTTTGTATTTCACTACACTTTTCTTTCTTTATTCTATGAATAGTTGTTACTTTTTTTATTCTTATATTCTTCCTTCTTTTTCTGTTTTTCTTTCTTTAATTACTATTCCTCTGCTTTTTTTTGGGGGGGGGTGAGGGCATCATTCTTTTCTTTCCTTTGTTTTATTTTTATTTTGTCATAATTTTCCTTCTATATTTTCTTCAATTAATATTTCGCTCATTCTTTGTTTTAATATTTGGTTTAGTTTGCTTTGTTTTCTGATATATCAACTTCAAGATTTTTATTGCTGGTAATATTTTTTATTTATCTATCTATCTATCTATCTATCTATCTATCTATATATCAATCTATCTATCTATCTCAGTACATATCAGTTTGGTTTGGTTTGTTTGACGGTATATATGTACCACAATGGATTATTTAATACCGACAAAATTTTACTACTGGTAATCTATCTATCTATCTATCTATCTATCTATCTATATATCAATCTATCTATCTATCTCAGTACATATCAGTTTGGTTTGGTTTGTTTGACGGTATATATGTACCACAATGGATTATTTAATACCGACAAAATTTTACTACTGGTAATCTATCTATCTATCTATCTATCTATCTATCTATCTATCTATCTATCTATCTATCTATCTCAGTACATATCAGTTTCGTTTGGTTTGTTTTACGGTATATATGCACCTCAATGGATTATTTAATACCGACAAGATTTTACTACTGGTAATCTATCTATCTATCTATCTATCTATCTATCTATCTATCTATCTATCTATCTATCTATCTATTTCAGTATATATCACTTTGGTTTGTTGTACGGTATATCAAACTCAATGTGTCATTTAATGCCGACAACCAAACTTTTATTTTTTATTTCCTCTTATCTTTTCTTTAATTTTTATACCACCGCTTCTCCCTTTCATTGTTTTGTATTCACATTTTGTATTCCCATTTTGTGTTAATTCACATTTTGAGTAATATTCACATTTCAGTTTTTACGTTTTGTTCTTCCTGCTGTCAATTTATTTTACACTACCTCATATTATCAATTATTTTACATTTTCTTTATGCTTTTCATCTTAATATTCGTTCCCTTTATTTTATTTTTTCCCTTTAATTTAAATGTCACTATTTCTCTCTTTCATTATTTTATGAATAGTCTTTTTTTTATTCGGTTTTACTTTTAACTTTTCCTTTTATATTTTCTTCAATTTACATTTCATACGCCATTTTTATTGTTTTGTACGGACGATTTTCTTTTACTTTATTCTGGTTTTCGTTCATCTTTTTATTGCATTATTTTTTCCGTTTCATTATCTTTTAATTTAAGTTTCACTTTTTTCTGTCTCATTCATTTATAAATAGATTCTTTTTTTTTTCATTCTATCTTTCTTTGATCTTTTTTTCTTCTACCTTCTATCTTTCTTTTTATATTCCACACGTTACCCGTTTTATATTTTGTCGTTCTTACTTACTTTCCTTTGATTTATTGTCGTTTTCTTACATCTGTTCTTCAGCCTTACTCTCCAATATATATCTCAAGGCTTATTTCATTCATTCTGCTGTCATTTTTCATTACCACGTTCATAAAGTTGCATATTTTTCTTTTTCTTATTCCTCAATTTATTCTTCACTTCTCTCTTTACAGAATTGTTCTTTTCGGTTCCATTCTTTTAGGCATTCGTCTCTTTATTTCTCCCTTGAAAGTTCTATTTATCTGCCTTGTAAAAAGGTTTTTCATAATTTTCTTTATATATTTTATACGGTTATTACTTCTTTTTTTAAAATCATTTTTTTTAAATCTGTCCTTAACTGCTTTACAGTTTTATTAACCTTTTATTCTTATTCCTTTTGTTATATTCTTTTGTTCCATAGTTTTTTTCATATCCCTTCCTTCCAATTTTTATCTCGTTACCTTTTCATTTATTTTTTGAATGTTTTTCTTTCTTATTTTTTCTCTTATTCATTCATTTATATCTTCCCTCTTTTCCTTGATTTTATATATCTCACGGATTCTATATTTCTTTCTGGAATTTCTTTATATTTGCCTTTCATTTTTCTGTCGTACTTTTTTTCTCTCTCTCAATTGTTTATTTATTTTATTTTATTTATTTTTTTGGCGCGACCTTCTTTATCGTCTGCCTTTATCCAATTTCTATTCCCAATTTACTCTTGACTTATTTTAACTTTTTCCTAAATACTCGCTTTCTCATTTTTTCTGTCAGGTGCAGGGTCAGAACTTTCTAAACGTTTATCATTTTTCTATGCGATTTAAAATGATAAAAACAAATATAGATATAAAATAATACTACCTCGTTCTGCACTCATTTAAATATGCTTCCATGACTCTCATGTTGCTCTAAATTTATATCTTTTATTTTCATGTCAAGTTTTGTATGGCCTTCTATTATATCAGCTTTTATATTATCCCTTACAGGATTCTTGTTTACGATTTTATGACATTTTTAAAAAAAATATACCGTAATATTTTCCCTTTTTTTTAACAGCTACATGATTCTATTTTTGTTGTGGCCTGTTTAGGGGCGAGAAAGAAAGACACAGAAGACAAAGGTATGTTGAAAAATGTATATTGAAGATATATACAAAACAATAGTGTTAGTAATAAGTAGATTAGCACTGCGTCTACTACTCCACTTCACCTATCCGACTCTCGCAGTTTGTATTTATGTAGCAGGGTTTACCTCAATTTTTATACTCATTTTTCCGATTTTCCTGTTTTGTCTTCGAAAAAGAAAACCCTTTTCCATATTTACACATTATCGAAAGATATTTTCCAGACTTCTTTTCGTTTTCAAGATGTATTCTTTTGAGGAACTCTGAATTTCAAAACTCACCACCCTGGCCCAGTAAGGTCTTTCATGTGTCTTAATACAAATTTAGATACCAGTAGATATAGCCATGTATACTGTTCCGAAGTCTACTACAATCATAACCTGTGCATGTTTAAAGTTAACCATTAACTTTGCAACATATCCTCATAAACTTTGCTTTTTTACTTCTTACCAATACTCATCACACAACAAACTCATTTAGTAACTCACTATCACGAGTGGCTCTTGGGCTTCGAATTGTAAAAATTGGAAAGAAAAATAGTACGCATTTCTAATTTAAGCATTCTTTTATCAGAATCTTAAAACACGCTAAGTAAAAATTCATAGACTTTGATTATCACTAATTCATAAATAAATAAACCCATAAATGTCAACGTTACCATTTTGGTAATAGGGGACATTAATGAGTTATAGGTAGAAAAATATAATTAATAACGGATTTTTAAAATCCGATAATATTCGGGCAAACAAAATGGAAAGGAAATTTTGTCTGACGTGTTTCGACCTTTAGGGTTTCGGCGGAATGAGTATGCTGTATTTTTGTTACTTTTTGCTGATGTTGCTGTGTATATACAGTAGCAAGCATAAAGATCAGAACGATGTTAAGAAAAACTCTAAATGTCAGATAACTTTTTTTTATTTTAAAACTTCATAGAACATTTTGTCAAGGAAATATAAGGATATAAAGGTAAATTATTTAATTCCAATATATAAAGATCAATAAACTTATTTTGATAAAGTTATAAGAATAATTATATAACATTAAAAAAAAAAGATTATCAAAAACATCAGAACAATTAACAACAACATACTATTATAATGGATGCATCATATCCAAATGAAAATAGCGTTCAGAATTCATTAGTAATTCATGTGTAAACCTTTACTTGCAATAACAGCTTGACATATTTTGCCATTTGAGCGAACTAATGTCTTGCATTCATTAACGAGTGTTTTCTCCCATTCTCCTTTTAAATTAGTCGATAGTTCTTCAACGTTTGTTGGATTCTTTTCCTTAGCTCTTTCATTTAGTAAATGCCAAACATTCTCAATATGATTCAGGTCTGGGCTTTGAGCAGGCCACTTTATAACAATAACATCCTACTCAGAAAGAAATGTCTTAACAGACTGAGCTGTGTGACACAGCGCGTATTCAGCTGATTGGTTAATTGCAGTTCTCATATTAGGTACATGTTTCTTCAACATCTCTTTGTATACAGTTGCGTCAATTTCACCGTGTAGCCTAACAAGAGGTCCCGTACCAGCAGGTAAAATCATGCCAAACACCATCACATTTCCTCCTCCAAATTTAACGCTGCTTTTAATGCCCTGAGGCGAATATCGTTCCTTAGGACTGCGTCGAACGAACCTTTTCTCTTCATAACCAAACATGTTAAATTTTGACTCATCGTTGAAATATACACTGTTCTTCTGTCCATATGATGTGTTCAGTGGCAAATTTCAATAGGCTCATTTGAATTTTTTTAGAAATGTAAGTCCTAGTAGAGGCTACTCGACTGTTCAAATTTATTTCATTAAGTCTTCGGGAAATAGTGTGCCTTAATATTTTAATGCCAAAATTAGCATTAGCACTTTTAGAGATCGCGGTTGCTGTCGCAAATCGATCCTTTTTTGATTCATTACCAATCCATCTGTCTTCCCTTGCAGTAGTTTTCCTAGGCCTGCCAGGTGGTTTCTTGGCTTCACATGACCCAGTTTTCTCATGTTTTCTTAACATACTATGAATAACAAATTTAGATTTCCACACAGACTTTGAAATATCCAAAATCGAGAGTTTATCTTCATTACATAACTTGACCATCAGTTTTCTAAGTTCCAATGACATCACATATTTTTTCGCCATTTTTACAATGCAAGAGCCAGTAAAGAGCCGGTGTAATTTAGTAAAATATCCTATTTTATATTCTTACCCAAAGAAATTTTCAATAATGCAAAATAATTATTACATTTTATGGATTTATTTAATCGTTCTGATGTTTTTGATCATCTATTTTTTCGAGTGTTGTATAATTATTCTTATAACTTTATCAAAATAAGTTTATTGAGCTTTGTAATTTGGAATTAAATAATTTACCTTTATATCCTTATTTTTCCTTGCTAAAATATTCTATGAAGCTTTAAAATAAAAAGTTATTTCATATTTAGCCTTTTTCTTAACATCGTTCTGACCTTTATTCTCGCTACTGTATATTCCTTGGTGAGCTTGGGGTGTTTTTTTTTTGTCATCTGTTTTTTTTTTTTGTTTTGTTTTTTTGTCGTAATCGTATTTTTTGTGTATATGTAGTAGATTTGTATTTGTAGTGGGTTTGTATTATGTGTCGTGTTTATTTTCTACTTTTTGTATAGGTATTTAAGCAAAAAATTAAGTATTTATTTGAATGTCTATATTTACCCATTATTTCGCTTTTCTTGTTTAATAATTTGCTTTTTTTATATTTTCTAATTATTTTAAACTTTTCCTCCAGACATAGTTTACAGTTTCTGCTACTGCTATTGTGTAGGTGGTGTCCTTTCCATTATTTCCCATATAAATTTGGTAGTGATATTATTGTCTTTTGGGATCCATATGTATTCTGAAAATGGTGTGTTGTTTTTGTATTTTTCTGTTATAAGTGATGTTTTTTGATTGTTAAATCTTTCTTTCAAGGATGTTTCTGTGTTTCTGTGTAAATTTTTTCGATTATGTTAATTTTGCTTGCTACGATGTGTTTATATATTATATTGTTGGTTAGACATTTATTGTTAAGTGGGCAGTTGTCTTTGTTTCAGTTTTTGCTTCAATGCCATTAAATGAAACTGTGAACTATGCCTGGAGGAAAAGTTAACAAAAATTGCATTTAAAAACCAAAGCAACCAACTAAAGAAGAAAAAAGAAATAATGAGGAATTGCAGACAACCAAATGAATACTAACTTTGTTACTTAAATACCAATACAAACAGTAATAAATAAACATGACACAAAACACGTGCCACTACAAACACAAACCTACAGTGGACAATAAAGTATTTAAGCCATCATATGCATAAACTCGTTCAAAAGAGGTCAATACACAACACAAACGCATCAAGAAAACCTACAGGACTTAACATCCAGCAAAAACGGTAAAGATAAAAACCAATGCAACACCCATGAAGTGAAAAAAAATCACATAAAGATATCAGATTACATCAAACTGTACATAAATACTAAAATGATGATAAGCAACAAGGAGGAAGCCAATAGCCCTGATGTGAGAAAGTGTTACAACAATGTGCTCACGAAACTTGGAGTTGACATGGCTGAAATAACAGCACCCATTTAAGGGAAAAGTTTCACCACATTAATTATCCTAAGCTTTATACTTACCTTTTGATATCGGGGCATTTAAGAAGGAAAAAACAAAAACTGTATGCTTACAATGTAGACAACGGTAAGATGACCCAGCACTTTTGCCACCTAACACTAATCCAATTTACTACTACTACTACTACTACTACTACACACACACACACACACACACACACACACATATATATATATATATATATATATATATATATATATATATATTGATTAATTTTCAGCATTTATGATAATATTTTTTTAAATTAGTATAAGTATTGAAAGTGTGAAGTGTTTTTATTCCTCTATCTCTGGCTATATATATATATATATATATATATATATATATATGTGTGTGTGTGTGTGTGTGTGTGTGTGTGTGTGTGTGTGTGTGTGTGTATGCTGAATTAATGTCAGTTAAAATCTTTCAGATACCTAGGCTATTTATATATACATACACACAGACACACACACAACACACACAGACACACACACACACACACATATATATATATTTATATACATGTGTGTGTGTATATATATATATATATATATACATACATATATATATATATATATATATATATATATATATATATATATATATATATATATATATATATATATGGAAAAATAAATTCAAATTAAAAGACAAATAATTGAACAATTAATCAAAAAGCCAATAATATTTTTTGCGAGATAATCAACAGTTTTCGTCAGCACCTGATAGACGCGATAATAAATCTTTTGTAATTTATTCATTTATTTTCCGACAAAAATACAAAAGGACAGTCTGGAAG